ATTCAACTTGTGCAGACACATGTTGCCAAGCCAGAATTCCACCGTGTGAGCTGGAGGCCACCACCTGATGGAGCCAAAAAACCTATCATCCACAAAAACAGAGACTAGATTCTGAGACCACCGAACCAGACGACCTACACCTTTGGGCGGGATCCTGGTGGAGACCAGGACCAGGTGTAGGTGATATGAGACAGGTTCTCAGTTTGGTTGTCTGTGGAAGTTCTCAGTCATTCAAGTCGCAGAGTGGTCCAAAGCAATTCAACTGGAGGCAGCTGGACAAAAATGCAAAGATTTCATATTTGTGTGTTTTGTGTAGATCACAGCAAAACAAGAGAAACAAACAAACAAACAAACAAACAAACAGAAGAAGAAGAAGAATTTTGTCTGTCTGAACAAATCTGTAGATTAAGTTTAATGAATGTTTCGTTGATGAGTCAGCGGTGACACCTAAACCCCGGGAATCTGAATTATTATTATTATTATTATTAATAATAAGATAAAGAGCAGATGAAGATGACTTCTCCTCCTTACATGTGGAACACAGAGGTTTGGCTATCAGACGCCTACTCAGTGTCAAACTACCACAGACAAGCAGAGCTCTACAGGAAATGAGTCAGTTTTACCTTTCAGATTTAAAGCATGATTTAATCACCTGTGAAATAAAAGGACTGTTCCCACTGTTACTTCACAGCAGTGAGGTCCTGGGTTCAAATCCACCTTCTGGCCTTTCTGTGTGGAGGCTGCATGTTCTCTCTCTCTGGGTCCAAATGCAGTCGGTGGGCCCTGAAATGGACATGAGTAACAAATACTGGAAGCCTTCAAACATCTAGTCTAGATACATTAATACGTAGAACATGAATCTGCTTCACACATCAGAGTTAAATAAGGCATCCTGTGTGTGTGTGTGTGTCAGAGCAGTGACGAATGTCAGTCTGGATAAATGAAGCTGTGCTGTAGATGTACGTACAGTTAAAGATACTCGAACAGCTGCAGCTTTTCCTGAACTGAAACTCAGGAAGAAAAAATTAAATCTGCAATAAAAGATATTTTTGAGACGCTGCCCCCTGGTGGCGAAAGTGAAATTCTGCAGAGGGTGACTGCAAAAAGTACCTTTAACAACCCCCCACCCCCACCCCCAATTCACATACACGGGAGGGTTGGGGCCACAGGTTTTATTTTGAAAGTCCAGAGCGGAAGCTGCAGCTTTCGTGTACGTGCTGCTTCACGCTGGTCCTCGGCAGTGAGAGCGAGGCAGGCAGGCTGCACGCCGCTAGGAGCCCGGAGACACTTTCCCGGAGGCACGGAGTCCCGCCGCGCGGCTCTCGGTACTTTGGGGTCGTTTCGGTCTCTGCTTCGGGGTGTGGACTCGGGGCAGACTTGGCGGGACCGGATCCCGGTGCGAGGCGGACTGGAGTACCCCCGATGGTGCATCTCCACAGGAGCGCATAGGAGCCCAGGACGAGTCTCCCCTGAAGGTAAGGTGTTCGTTTCCCCCTTCACGAATCCACGCGGCGCGGCTCAGACGCGTCCACGCGCGCAGGTCGCTCCCACGTCCGCCCAGCCGGGCTCGCGCTACTGATGCGCGCAAAGCCAGCGCACAGGGCGGCCGTGGGCTTCGCGGTTAGAAAGTTGGAAAGAGTGCGCAACACTCCCGCGCGGAGGGGCGCAAATGCGCAGGTGAGTGCGCCCGTGTGCGCCTGAGAGAGCTGCTGCTTCAGTTCACAGACACCATCACAGCAGCTGCTGGGATTCTCCATCATTATTCATTTTCTGCTGACTGCGGCTTTATTGGATGTTCTGTCCGCAGAGCTCAGCGTGAGTTTGCACTCATATCTATTTAAGAAGCCGTGGCCGAGTAACCAGGTTTGAACCGCAGAGATTTTATGGATCGATACGTTTGTATTACAAGCAGCTTTGTCTAATTCCAAATTAATTATGAGGCAAAGTGAGAAAGTGGCCCCGATGCTCCGCAGCCGTACGGAGCGCAAACCGTCCTCACTCTGTGCGCCGTAATTAGTTGAAATGATCTGTGTGGCGACAACACAAAGACAACAACAAATCGAGCGGAAGTGATTATTTCCATCTGATAAGAGAAGTAAACTGTAGTTCGGTGGAGGTTTAAACGGAGTGACGTAGAGTTAAGCTGTACAACAACGTCAAAACATAGACTGTACATAAAAGATGGGTGTAGGCCGGGGTCTCGTTGCAGAGGGATGGAGGGGGACAGTAACTGTGCTCCTGTATGAGTGTCCCGTGTCTCTGTGGTTACTGTGGCCGGAGTCCTTGCTCTGCAGCCACGGGGAGCCACAGAACCACAACTCCCATCATCATCATGAGCAGCTGTAGTCTGTGGAGTCTCTCCAACCAACCGTGGGTTGAGAGGATTGAGACGTGAGAAAGGAAGGATATGGTTAGCTGGTTAGCGGCAACTAAATTTTCAAAATAAATGGTAAAATGGTAAATGGCCTGTATTTATATAGCGCTTTTACTGGTCCCTAAGGACCCCAAAGCGCTTTACATATCCAGTCATCCTCACATTCACACACTGGTGATGGCAGCTACATTGTAGCCACAGC